CTTAAACCTATCCTTACCAACTCATCGTTAAAACATGTGCGCACATGCACACACACACACACACACACGCACACCCTGTTGTGCATGGTATGCCTAGCCCAACCCAGCAAAGGATGGATCTGGTATGTAAAATGAGTCCAGTGCCCTGAGATTAGAAGTCTGGAACAGGAATCCTTTATTACACGTATAAACAACCCTCGACTAATCCTGGCTTCCCCTCCACACCTTTCAGCTGGTGTGGCCTCTCCTAGTGTTACTTCCTATACCAGCTTTTCCTGTTCAGACCAATTTCCAATCTTCCAGTAGAAGGAGATCAAGTCATGGGGCAACTGAGTTAAAACCTCATCTCCTATGGAACACTGAAGGTAGGGGTTTCAAGAGAACACTATGGCAGAAAAGCCAGCTCTAATTGGCAAAAATGAGGTAGTTCAATAGGCTATGCACTCCAGATAGTTGTTCTCCCTGGTGATAAAACAAAAAAGTGTTCCTGCTGTGAGACCTGGAGCTGCTGCTGACTTATCCCTGAGATTGCCCATGTACCTGAGAACACAGTGCAGGAATGAGGTCCTTAAGATTAAAATACACAAAAATACAAAAACCAGAATATTTATATTATGAAAGAAAAAGGTTAAAATGCACAAGATACATCATTCGCACACAGCTAGTACAGTTGGCATCCTGGAGAAAGTGGGGCCCAAGGTGCGGTTGTCTAAGGGAACAAATAAAATCCTATCGGCCCAGAATGGGGTGGGATTAAGCTTGGGAGCAGGAGGTCTGTCGCTATTCCCCCAACAATCCCTGTGGCTACTGTCACAACCCATTGCTTGGGACAGTCTTCAGTACCCTATCCCAAGAGTGGATTATGAGACAAGATGTGGGAAAACCCTGCCTTACCCCTTAGAGATTCCCTCTCCACAGAATATAGTGGTTTGTGGGTTGAGCCCATCAATCTGGTCTTATGCTTTATCTCTACACTCTGGCTTGGAAAAATTATTATTACATGTCCTTTTTTGAAAGGAAAACAACTTCGCTATCCAGGCCACTTTCAAAAGCTGGAGATCTGAGGGTGGAGACTCAGGTAAAGCACATGGGGAGGGATTTTCTCCAGACCCTCACAGGCATTTGGATAGAGCATGGTTGTAGTTCATTTGCCTCACCCCTTCCCCTCTACCCTGCCAAGAGGGAAGTAGGGGTGATTCTGTGGGACCCTGGCCTGAGATACATGGCAGAGCCAACTGCCCCCTACCCACCTTGTCCCCACTTTCTCCACTCTCTCCCCCAAACTTCCTGATCACAAAGGAATTGCCCCCACCCACTGTAGCTCAATTCTGGGCCTCTGGGAGTAGGGCAGGGCTATGGATCCCTTCTTCTTCTTCCTCCTGAAAGTAGGCTGGCTTTCCCTGTGAGCTGAGGGCCTGTTGGGCCTTCAGTGGACACGAGGCCACCACAAGGCTGAAGCTCTGGCACAAGTGGCCTTTCTTGAGCTGGGGTGGCAGCTTGCATTCCTTGGATGGTGGTCTAGACCTCCACAGTAGCACCTGTCTCCCTTTGATCTGCGCTTCTGCATGTTCCTCCCTTTGGGCTGCCTCTCACTCCCAATACAAATACCGCAGCAGGCCCGGTGACCCAGATAGATTCTAAGCCTTCAGCAGACTCCTGAAGGTGAACTCCACCGCCTCACCCTCCGGAAGCCCTCCATGTGCAGCTTGCTCTGGTGCACAAAGACATCCATCGGGAGGGTCAAGCACATCCCCCTCGTGGGTGGTCATGGACAGGAGCCGAACCCCATGTGCACACTGAACCACTTACAGATGCTGGCACTGCGCAGGAGCAGCGGCCTCCTCTGGTGCCTTGGCCCAGCCACCTGCAAACTGCTGGTTTGCCACAGAGCCCATGGTAATCGGCTGAACCCGTGGCCCCGGGCCCCTGGTGGGGTGGCTGCTGGCCCCAGAGAAGTCTGGAGGCAAAGGGAAGGAAATTCAAATTTTAGAAAAATGTCTGTGACTTAAAATTCTATGATTTTCCACATTTTCACTTTATTCACTGTCAGCTTGTACAACATGTACAACACGAACATTGTAACAAATTTCTTTACCTCATTTTTTTCCTGTAATTAGATAGCTAACAGAGGTGACATTTTTGGAAGGTTAATGGGGATTTAGAAAGACAAGATAGGAAATTAGGTAGTCAAAGATGATTTCTAAAAATTTAATATTTTAAAATCAACCACTTTTAGTATTATCACCAAATCTTTGTATACCATTTTAAAAAATAGTGTAGTTGTGAGTTATTATTTCAGGTAGCCACAAATGACGGGTGCCATTTCTCTTTTTTAAAGTAAAAAAGAGGGCAGCCCGGGTGGCTCAGTGGTTTAGCGCCGCCTTCACCCCAGGGCGTGATCCTGGAGACCCAGGATCGAGTCCCACGTCAGGCTCCCTCCATGGAGCCTGCTTCTTCCTCTGTCTGTGTCTCTGCCTCTCTCTCTCTCTCTCTCTCTCTCTCTCTTTCTTTCTCTCTGTGGCTCTCATGAATAAATAAATAAAATCTTTAAAAAAATAAATTGAAAAAGTGCAACCTTCCCGGGAAAATATAGATCTTAGTTTTAGCTTTAATACCTAGAAAAATCCTGAAGCAAATCACTGATCAACCAATTTGTATTCATCTCTGGGAAAGTGCAGAGGGTAAAAACAAAACAAAAATGTAGCTTTGTAAATACGCAAGTAAGTGACCTTAATCTAACTAAAATTAAAATGAACTGAGCTAAAAATGAACTCATGAACTAAAATTGATCCAATTTCCTAAATAACAATAATAGTATTTGTTCTAACATTTACTGAGAGTTTGCTATCAAACTCTATCATGGCATCATGCTAAGCACTCCGCAGATATCATATGATGCCATTGCTATAATTCACATTTCACAGATGAAGAAACCACGGTTCATGGAGTTTATGTTCGTCAAGTCATAGGTCAGGTTTCAAACTCAGAACTGGCTCCCTAACTCTTAACCTCCCTGTTTTCTGGAAACCAGGACTGGTATTCCCAGGCCCACATACTTCAACCTTCGGCATTTTAAATTCATATCTAGTTTGGTCATGGGTATTCGGTTCAATCTGTGGAAGCTGGAATCCTCCATGTGACGTAATATCCAAGTTGCTTAACAAAGACGCCATTGTGAAGAGAGCCCACTGGGGTCAATGGAAGAATTAAAAGTCAAAGGGGAATAAAAGTGTGGTATTTAAACTAAAGAGAGGAAGGCCAGGGACTCGGTTTGGGAAAGCTCTTTAGACTACTCTAAATCTAAGGATTCAGACTTTCAGATTCTGTGAAGCATATTAGATGATAATCGTGCTCCTTAGTGTCTGGAATCCAACTGTATTCTAGTTTGGTTTGGCCAAAGCTGTCTGGCTCTAGGTCTGATTTGGAACAGAAGAGAACAATCTTATTTATTGTGGACCAATTCTGGGAAATTCATGTTCATCTTAATTCATCCATAAGTCACATCATTGTCTTTTTCTTTTTTTTAATTCCCATGGTTTTTTTCTCCTCTTCCTCGTTCTCCTTTTTTTTCTCTTTGTAATTCCCCAGTTGAAGCTCTTCTGAATGGGAGCCATGCACAGAACAGGTACAAAATGAATACTTGTTGAATGAGCAGAGGAAGTGACAAAAAGGCATCTTCAATTATGAAGAGGTACAAGCTAGATCAAGGAGGCGGAGGACGTTCTAAGGAGAGACAATACAAAAACTGGGCAGTGTGGATTATTTAGGGAGCTCCCAGTAGCTGGACAAGACTGTGTGATAGAAATGTCGTGCAGCCTAGTGACAGCCGGGAGCCAGGACTCTCGAGCCTGCTAGCTGTGGTTTGAATCCTGCCTCCATCTCTCACCAACTGTGTGTCTTGGGGCAAATTATATGATTTCTCAGTATCTACCTTATGGGGCATTAGGCTCGGAATTCTAGCATAATGGCTGGGAAATAGTGCCTAATACACGATGGCTTAAAGCACGTGGATCCTACTATTACCATGTAGGTGAGTAGCAGGTGGTGGGATCGGCAGGGGACAGGGCCTAGAGTTTCCCATGTAAAAAGAGAACACTTATAACAAAAGCAGCAGAGACTTTTTGAAAGTTTATAAGAACTGGGGGGAACAGGGTGTGATTTGAATTTTGTGATTCTGGGACTGAAGACAGAAGGATTGGTGGGCAGGCAGTTGCCAGAATCCAGATGAAAAGAAATAAGGGTTTAAACTAAGTCAATTCCAGGTGTTGTGAAGAGGAGAGGGAGCACCCAATAAGGCAGCAGGTCAAGTCCTAGGACTTGGCACCTGCCTGAGTTAGAGAGACGGCCAAGTGTCAGGGGTCAGGCCAGGGCAGCTGGGTGAGGATATTAGTCACTGAGAAGGGGGAGACCAAGAAAGGGACGGATTTGGAAGAAGATGAGGAGTTTAGTTGTGTACGTGGTTATTTTTGATTTTGGACATATCAACTTTGAAGAGAAGGGCCAGGTACCAATGCCCTGGTAGGCAGCAGAACTGTGAGAGGAACCCTAGCTGATGTATTAAGTGGAGACATTTATACCTTTGGTCTTAACAACAATATTTTTTTGGTTGGTTGTTTAAAATGCTACCTCTACCTTGATTATAGATATTTATACTAAAAAGATTAACCAAACCCTATGTAGAGAATGGTGAAGTTGAGAGGATTTTGGGGGGGCAATTTGAGAACATTATCATTTATTATCAGGCCATAGTGACCCAACCAAAGGCACTGCTGAAATCAGGGACGCACAAGTCACTAAGGAGGTGATATTCTGAGGATTTTGTTAACTGACCTTCTTTGATATGACCTGCCTTTGACTAGACACATGATACATAGTAATTACCTGTGCATTTTGTGTAATCCTAACCTGTGTGTGTATGTACAGTGTGTTCGTAGCTTTACACTCTTTCGTCATCTGAAAATTGTCTTATGTCTCTGCAATTTGTCATCTCTTCCCCATAGGTATCTCAGATGAGTACATAACGCCCATGTTTAGTTTTTATAAAAGTGTTGCCGAACTGAAAATGACGCAAGAAGAGTATGCTCTGCTTACAGCAATCATCATCCTCTCTCCAGGTAATTTCATTGCTGTGTTTTAATTTTTATGCCATTCGCTTATTCTGCTTCCTCCGCAGTATGACAGTAATAACATTTCTTAGAGAAGATCTGAACGACACAGAGGCAGAAAGAAACCGGGAAACAGCTCTATAATCCCACCCCTCCTGGGGGATCGTTGTTAAAATTTCAATGCAGTTCTTCTCAGCCCTTTTCCCTAAACATCGCACTCATGCACTGAATAATTGTGTTTTGAGTACCTACTATGCACTGAACATGGTTCCAGATGTTGGGGGAGACAGCAATAAAGAAATGGGCCGGAGTGGCTGCGTGGAGCTTGCATTCCACTGGGGTGAGAAAGGCAATAAATGAGGAAGCAAAAATACTTTTCAGGAGGTGGTAATGCTAAAAAATATATATAAAGATGAGGATATAAGGAAAGAAAGTGGGGGCAGGGCTTTTTACAAATATATCTTCTCTATTTATTCATGAGAAACACAGAGAGACAGAGACAAAGGCAGAGGGAGAAGCAGGCTCCCTGTGGGGAGCCCGATGTGGGACTCGATCCCAGGACCCCAGGATCATGCCCTGAGCCAAAGGCAGATGCTCAACTACTGAGCCACCCAGAGGCCCACAGAAAAGGCTTTTCTAAGGGATTGATATGTGAACAGGAAGTTAAATGGAATCACATACTTTATAACATAATAGGGAACATACTTTTTTTTTTGTTTATTTTTCTATGTCATTAAAAAATTATATCAGTAATGGGGGCACCTGGGTGGCTCTTTGGTTAAGCGTCAGACTCTTGATTCGGGCTCAGGCCACAATCTCAGGGTAGTGAGATGGAGCCCGCTGTGCCCATGCGCTCTCTCTCTCTCTTTCAAAATGAGATTATATTAGTGAAAGTTTGTAGAATCAGGTATGCATCATGTTGATGTACAATCCTTTACATGATGGTTACCATTTTTGGCTGTACAGGATGTTTCCAGTGTGTGTGTGTGTGTGTGTGTGTGTGTGTGTGTGGTTTTAAACAATGTCAAAATGAACATCTCTGCACATGTATTTTTGGATTATTTTAATTATCTGAGAGTAATGCCACGTGCGTGATTTGTAAAGCATAATTTCAACATTAGCTTTAAACCATTCTTACACATAATATTGAGGCAGAAGCTAGTGGTCATTTTGTTTGTTTTACCATAAAACAAATGATTAAAGAAAACCTTTTTGGTTCTGTATACTAAAGTCCACACATACCTACCCTGTGGCCTGGCAGTTCCGCTACTTAGAATGTACCCACTAGAAGTGATGCCTACACCCACCATATAGGTCATTTTTGGGGGCACAGACTGGAAGGAGAGTTTGGGGAGTAGTAAATGTTCTATATCTTGATCTAGTTGTGATTACATGAAAATATGTGTGTGTGTGAAAATTCAGCACGTTAAAACACTTAATATATACATTTAAGAGCGCGCACTTATAAGTCGCATTGCAAGCAAGTTCTTGTTGCTATAATCACGCCAAATTGATGCTCCTCAAGAACCCATTTTTTAACCCATTTAATTTTAATTCAATTTTAAAATGTAACTTTATTTTAAACCTCGACACAGACAGACAATACATCAAGGACAGAGAGGCGGTAGAGAAGCTTCAGGAACCTCTGCTCGATGTGCTACAAAAGTTGTGCAAGATTTATCAGCCTGAAAATCCTCAACATTTTGCCTGTCTCCTGGGTCGCCTGACTGAGTTGCGGACATTCAATCATCACCACGCAGAGATGCTGATGTCATGGAGAGTGAATGACCACAAGTTCACCCCGCTTCTCTGTGAAATCTGGGATGTGCAGTGAGGAGTGTGGCAGGGCAAGAGCATCCAGTGCTTCATTTTCCTCACAATATGTCTGATGTATGACTCTTTTTGTTTCATTTGTACGTGGTTTCACGCAAGAACTTTGGCGGATATTTATGCAGTGATTATGTGACTTCCAAAGTTGTAAATACTGAGCTAGATAACATTGCTTTCTCCGCATGGCATTTGCAAGGCTTCAGGGACTCTTTGGTCCAAACGGGCCGTCCTGCTCGCCTCGCTCCATTGATCATTCTGCACTTCCATCGGTTGAGATAGGGAAAACTTCATTTTGCTTTATCTTATATCATCACGTATATTTTATCAAAGAGTTGTGTTCAATTTTGGCAATAAACTGAACATAATGGCAGTAGGCTTTTCTCTTGGAACAAAATCTGAAAAATACAGAATCTCGTTTCTTTAAATGGTGAACGACATCCTGTTGGGCTTGGCATTTGTGTGTGTGTGTGTGTGTGTGTGTGTGTGTGTGGTGATGGGTAGTTTACAAAAAGATAAACTCTCACAACACAAATTTTTTTTTTTCTCATCCCAGAAGCAGCCCTGGTGAATATTCATTTATTTGTAATGGCCATTTCATTTCATTTTCTCTGAAGTCAAAGAAGTAGCATTCAGAAAAGCTAATGATTCTCAAATAAAGTATTCCCTCAAGCAAACCCTTCCAAAGTTAGGGTCTTGAAGTCCTGTTTACAAATGCAAATAACTCCAGTGATGGGATATTCCCTTTTCTCTCTTAAAAGCACTTAACTTTGGCTTCAGTGCATATAATTAATCTGTGTGGTTTTTTTTTTTTTTTTTTTTTTGGTTTGTTTTGTTTTGCTTTCGGAAAACACTTCTACAGCTGGGTGCACAGCTGTTGTATACTTCCCCCAAACCAGGAATTAGTTCATTTCCTTCATTCATTGTTACACTGCTGTATTCTTCTCCCCATCATCCTTGGGTGAATACCATAAAACACCTCCTATGAGCAATGGCCTTATATATACCCCTTTCTGCTGAAGTCAGACACAATGGAGCTTGCTTAGCACACAAGAGGTTTTTCTGTATTAAAATATTAGAACAAAAATTTAAAAAAATATTAGAACCACCCTGAAGTCCTAAACACGGTGGGAAAGGGAACAAGCGGGGTTAGCATTACTTGGATTCTACTTGCTACAACAAGACTTGAGTCCCCACTAAGTACAAGGTCCCTCAAGGGTCACAGTCTGGGCCTGGAGGGGTTTGCAAAGAGGTGCAGAGACAAGTTCTGTGGGCTCACTGGGCAAGTCTCCTGGAGGAGGAGGAGGTGGCATTTCCTCTGGGCTTGGAAGGCTATAGCCAGGACCTCCACAGAGGCTGTGAGAGGGAACGGGATGCAAGGGTGGCAGGATCACAAGCAGGGGCTGGTGAGGTGCAGGTGTTAAAAAGCACAAGTAATCTGGGGAGAAACAACCCTTGGCAAAACCCTTCCCAAGCCTCTGTTTCACCATCTGGAAATGTAGATACCAGCGCCTAAGATCTCTAGGAATTTACCTAATGGGTGAAAAGTGGGAAGTTGCAGGCCCCTCAAGGGAGATAGGTGGTAAGGAAAGGACACATCAGACAGGGAAGCCAGCTTCTGAATGCCTGAAGGAGGAGATTCGGTTTGGGGAACAGAATGTGGTTTGGTGTATCCCAGATCACAGGGCATTTGTAGGGAAAGTGATGGGGAATGAGCTGAATTAAGGGGCACATTACAGACCGAACTAGGAGTTAATCACGTAGGTATGGATTCATTCATGTAGGTAAGACTTTGTAATGGCAAATAATAATGCTTACGAAAACGAATTGTGATAAAATAATACATATAGGCCCTTTGTTCCCCGTTCCTGACACAGGGCTTTCTAAAACCCTTGGAATTTCCTGATGGGGTGAAAGGAGCACCTTTTATTTGTAACGAGCTGCTTTCAACCAGAGACCTGAGTTTATGCTAACAAGATGATGCAAGGAGGGGCTCTAGGTACTTTAGGAAGGGTGATGATTGCTAGATGAACCAATCATGTGATTAGAAAGCTGGCTCTTTTGGCCCTATTCCCAGACTCCGCGATGGGGAGACAATCCCAGAGGTTGAGGTCAATCACCAATGGCCAAGGATTTAATCAGTCATGCCTATGTAATGGGTTTTCCATAAAAATGCCTATATGATGCATCTTGAGAACTTCTGGGTCCATGAACACACTGAGGTGAAGAGCATGGAACACACTAGAGAGAGCACGGAAGCTCCAGGTCCTCTCCTCTACTCCCATACCTTACCCTATGCCTCTTCCATTTGGCTATTACTTACCAAGTTGTACCCTTTATAATAAACCAGTGTCTAAACTGTTTTCTTTAGGTCTGAGAACCACACTAGCAAATTATAAAAATTGAGGGGGGAGCAGGTAATTGGTAAAGATCTTATTTCCAAATAAGGTCACCTTCTGAGATTCCAGATGGACATGAATTTTGGGGGATTTATAGGGGAAGGAACACTATTCCATCCACTACATAGATATAACATTTTAGCATTAATCACAGCTGTTGTTATAAAATTTGACCTCATTGAATTACTTTCACACAATATTTGTTCATGTAAATCTGTAACATTTCTTTAAGCTTAGTATTGTTTTTAATGTAGTAGGCTCTCAAAAGGCTATCTGCTGAATGAATAGTTAATTAGGAATAAATCAAACCTTTTATTGCCCCCAAATTTAACCCAGTACTTCACACAAGGTGTGTTCATCTATTGACACTCAATTGTGTCAGAGCATTAAATGCAACAGCAGCAGCAGCCACATAATGCAGAACAATAACTAATAAACTCATTAAAAGCAAACAAAACAAAACCCAACAAACAAAAAAACCTCTAACAACTATGTTTTTTTTTTTTTTAAATCCAGCATTACTTAACATACGGTGTTATATGAGTTTCAGGGGTGCAATGTGGTGATTGAACACTTCTGTACACTACTCAGTGCTCCCCAAGAACAGTGTACCCTTCACCCCCACCCCCTATGTCACCCATCCCACACTCCCTCCCCTCTGGTGACTGTCAGTTTGTTCTCTATCATTAAGAGTCTATAGTTAAAAGAGTTTTTTTGGTTTGTCTCTTTTTCTTTTTGTTTTGTTTCTTAAATTCCACAAATGAGTGAAATCATAGGGTATTTGTCTTTCCTCTGACTTATTTCACTTAGCATTATTATGCTCCCTAGCTCTATCCATGTCCTTGAAAATGGCAAGATTTCATTCTTTCTTTATGCCTGAGTAATATCCCACTATACATGTATGTATGTATGTGTGTGTGTGTATCTGCTGATAGACCCTTGGGCTGCTCCCGTATCTTGGCTGTTGTAAATAATGCTGTAATAGACTTAGGGGTGCATGTTTCTTTTTAAGTTAGTGGTTTTGTAGTCTTTGAGTAAATACCCAGCAGTGGAATTACTGGGTCATGTGGTAGTTCTATTTTTAACTTTTTGAGGAACCTCCACACTGTTTTCCACAGTAGCTGCACCAGTTTGCATCCCCACCAACCGTGCATGAGACTTCCTTTTTTCCACATCCTTGCCAACACTTGTTGCTTCTTGAATTTCTTGTGGTTCTTTGTATATTTGACTACTTGACTTTAGCCTTTCTTTTCTTTTTCTTTTCTTTCTTTCTTTCTTTCTTTCTTTCTTTCTTTCTTTCTTTCTTTCTTTCTTTCTTTCTTTCTTTCTTTCTTTCTTTCTTTCTTTCCTTCCTTCCTTCCTTCCTTCCTTCCTTCTCTTTCTTTCTTCTTTCTTTCCTTCCTTCCTTCTCTTTCTTTCTTTCCTTCCTTTTCTTTCTTTCTTTCCTTTCTTTCTTTCTTTCGAGGGGGTTATAGAGGAAGGAACTGAGGGAGAGGGAGAGGGAGAGGGAGAGAGAGGGAGAGGGAGAGGGAATCTTAAGCAGGCTCCATGCCCAGCAGGGAGATCATAACCTGAATTGAAATTGAGAGTGCCTAACCAACTGAACCACCCAGGTGCCCTGACTTAAGCTATTCTGACAGGTGTGTGGTGATATCTCTTTGTGGTCTTGCATTTCTCTGACGATTGGTGATGCTGAGCATCTTAATCATGTTTCTGTTGGTCACCTGTACTTCTTTGGAGAAATGTCCATTCACGTCTTCTGCCCATTTTTAATCAGATTCTTTATTTTTTTGGTGTTGCGTTGTAGAAGTTCTTTATATATTTGGATACTAACCTTTATCAGACATGTCATTTACAAATATCTTCTCCCATTCTGTATGTTGCCTTTTAGTTTTATTGTTTCCTTTGAAGAAGCTTTTTATTTTGATGTAGTCCTAATAGTTTATTTTTGCTTTTGTTTCCCTCCCTCAGGAGACATACCTAGAAAGATGTTGCTATGGTTGATGTAAGGAAAACTACTGCCTGTGATCCCTTCTAGAATTCCGATGGTTTCAGGTCTCACATTTAAGTCCTTAATCCACTTTTGTTTATTTTTGTCACTACAGTATGTTTTAAGCAATGCAGTTGCTTTAAATTGCAATGCAGTTTTAAGTAATTCTTTGCAGGGCTGTGAAAAAGCCAAATCATATCTCAACATCCAAGGCGTATATGCTTCTGAGAGGCTCTTCTATTTGATTAGTCGGATCAATGATCATTCCAATGTAATAACTTAAAATTTAGATTTCCAAGCATGCGTTTTCTTAAAGTGGGGGCACATCTTCACAATCCTGGCAAAGTCACATCTATTAGACTTTGTCACCTGATGAAAATGATGGGCAAGGCTTGCTCTGTATGTTGCAACCATGGTAATTTACAGTAAAATAAGAACCTCTAAAGTATAGGTGTTAGCCTAACCACCAATTAGAAAATCTACACATGAAAGTAGATTTCACCTCATTAGGTGGAACCCTCAATTACTAATTGTAGTGTTAAAATCAAGATAGGTAAGATGGTGAGTGCACTAAGGGAAAGGGGTACTGAGAGCTGATGTAGAAATGAGGTTCAGAAAGCACACGAGTACTTCCTTCCTTCCTATACAGAAGGGAAAAGCAACAAGAATCAAATAATTGAGGTGGGAGTTCTCCGCCAACATATATCTCTAACCAGTCTGGGATATGGGCTTAAAGAGAGGAGATTTGTTTAGACTTTCTGATTGCAGATTCATTTTCCTCCAGTCATATCTTTATAAGGTACATAAGTTACCAAGACAAATCACATAGACAATGAGAATAAAAGGAAAGCAAGCATAAAATACCCTAAAATATGTCAAAGTTTCAGTAAACGGTTTAAAAATATTAAGTGGGATGTGTGTGTCGGGGAGTAGAGAAAGGACGCTCATGTACATATAGGAGTATAGCATACTTTCAGTTTTTAATAAGTGGAATTTAAATGTTTACGCATGTAGTATGCATGTAGGAAGAAAATTGTTAACTACTGGCTCATCAAACAACTCTTAAAGTTTTATAGAAAAGTGTACAGGTTCTGATATTGGTTCTCAATAAATCCAATTGAAAGCTACAACTCCACTTTGAAATTTGGCTACATGAAGGAATATGACAAACTGTCCTTAGTTTTCAACAGAAACACTGTAAAACATACGTTTATTTGAACAATCGGTGAAAATTAATCTATGGCAGATGGCGGGACCAAAGGGTTCTGGGAGCAACTTCAGTAAAAAAGAAGGAGCAACCATGAAAGGGTGTCAGGTTCAACTACCAGGACATGCCAAGTTTTGGCTGACCGTCTTACAGCCCAGCCCAGAGTATAAGCTCTGTGAGAACAGGACCCTTCCTGCTGGGGCAGAGTCTGGTGCAGAGCAAGCACTCAACGATGTCTGTGAATTAACTTTTCAAATCTGTGTCTCCTGCCCCAACCAATTAAACCACTTCTGAACACCCCTACCTGCATGCTCCTCTCACACTTGAGACTGAACACACCCCAAACCAAAATGCAGGTAAGTCAGCTTTCTTAGGTATCTCCAGAGACCTCTTTCTCTCCACCTCTTTTGAATTAGTTTAGGTAATTGTTGAATTTAGTTTTTGGAATTGTCACCAGTCTCATTCCATTCTTCAAAAATCCTTGAAAAAAAAAATGTTTCCCTAAAACACACCATCCTACCACTCCTTTTTTATAACCAATCCCAAATGACTGCAAGAAAAATTCTAAACTCTTCAGCATCTACCAGATCTTTCATCGGTGCCTACTCTTCCAGCTTGATCTAGCTCTCAATCTCCAGTCTTTAGTCTCTCAAAACTACTATTTCAGGAACATTTCAGGTGCTCTCATATCTCTGGAACTCTGTGTTCTCTCCGCCTGGAAAGCACTCCTTATTCCCAATTATCCGTGCTCTTGTCAGATTCCCAATTATCCTCCAAAACTCTCGGCTCCTTTCAAACCTCTGACCATCACCTTCCAAGGCTGTCAGGTGTTCCTTCCTTTGCAGACCTCCATTGAGCCTTCAGGCTGCTGAGCACTTCGAAGGCAGGCACCGTCTTTTTCATTTTCGTGGAATCTTCTTCATTTTCGTTTCCACCGCAGAGCAGCAGCAGGACCCCCTAAGGGTTTTTAATGAACGAAGGAAGGAATAAACACTAGAGAGAGAACATCATTCCAGGTCAACAGAAGGTCGACCATTTTACAGATGAGAAACTGAGGCCCAGAGAGGTGAGGTGATTTCACAAAATCAAACTAAAAGGGGAAGGATCTGGGCCTCCGGACTTTTGGCCACTGACACCCCCCCCCCCGCCCCTTTACAAGTCCCATTACACTTACAGTTATCAGAGACCTATGCACTTCTACAGGGAGGTCCAGTTTCTGCTTTATCTCGGCCGTCTGGGCCAGTAAGTCCCCCTCATCAGGATGAGGTTGGTTTTTGTGCGTTTCCTGAAATCAGCGCCGGCACCCCGTGTCCGCCCACAGCTGGGCTGGCAGCTGCAATCCTCGCCGTCTTTCAACACCGCCTCTCCAGGAAGAGCCTTCCCTCGGGAAGGGAAGCCCAGCACGCCCACTCCTGCGGGGTGCGTTTGTCTCCGGAAACCGGGCGCCCCCTGACAGCCAGACCTCCGGTGCGGTGCTGGGGTCGGGGCGTGGGGGGAGACTCTGCGACTCCGCGGGCCAGACGGGGGGACTCGGTCCGTGACACCGAGGAGCTACTTTGCCTTTAGGTGGAGAACGGGGCTTGGCCCCCCGACGTGAGAGACTCCGGGCGGCGGCAGGCGGGCGCCCCCGGCCAGTGAGGTGCGCGCGGGGGTCGGGTGCTCCCGGAGGCCCGGGGTGGGGGGGGGGAAGAGGGACACGGGGGACCTGCGGCCGTGCCCTCCCCCATCTCGGGGTCGAGGGGACCTGCGGCCGCGCCCTCCCCCGCCCGGGGCGGAGCCTGCGGCCGCGCCCTCCCCCGCCTTCCCATTGGTCCTTTCGAAACAGGCGGCGGGCGGCGGCGGAGGCGGCGGGTCAGAGGCGGGTCCGCTTCGCGGCCGGACCCGAGATGTCGCCCTGCGGGGAGAAGTGACCGTTCCGGGCCCGGCGGGTGAGTCCTTCCCTGCTGGCCGTCTCTCCTCTCGCGAGCCTTTCCTCGCCGTCTTGGGGCTGCCGCGCCTTCGTCTGCGGCCTCGAGGGACCCCCGGCGCTCGGGGAGTCGCAACGCTGGCTCGGCGGGGTGTCGGGGACGCCCTGCGGTTGGCCTGCCGCGGCAGCCGCGCCCCCGGATTGGCCCCCGGGGCTGTCAGGGTGATGGTCAGCCCGCCCTCTCCCGCCGCCTCGGCGCGGCGCTGCGGCCACAGGAGTGCTGGGGCTGGGGGCGGGGCGGGGGGCAGCTGCGGACCGAGTCGGCCGGAGCAGGTGTGGAGCCGTAACCGCTCTGCCTTGGAATCCGGGGGAGCGGAGCCTGAAGCTGGTTGAAGGGCTCCGGGGCACCCGTACCCCCCAGCGCCTAGCACGGTTACCGACTTGGTGCCTCTGGCCAAGGTGACAGCGCCTTCCCCCCTGGGCCCGGCTGGGGCGGGGCTCTGCGCTCCCGGCTGCACCCCTTAGTTTGGAGGGCTGCCCTGGGGGCTGAGCTGTAAAGTAAAGGGAAGGCTTTGTAGTTCGCCCAGAAATCTGGAGAAACTTTGGGAAGGCGTCCTTCCTCACGCTGCCACTCCTGCTCCCAACCGATCTTTTCAAATGGAGTTTCCTGGATTTACGAGCGCTTTGTGCTGTGCGTGGCTGAGTTGCTGATTCCGTCCTTAAGTGAAGCGGTGGTTGGTTGCGGGCCCGGTCCGAGTCACACCTTGTGTTTTGTTCCGTCTGTACCACGAGCGCTAATAACGGCTTTCTCAGAAGATAAGCAGTTGGTGAACCTGCTCTATGACCACGTTGCTTGGCACTTAATTAAGGATTGGAATTCTCACAACCTCGGATTTCCTTTGGGAGCAGACTGGGATGGATTGGAATGAAGAAGTGGAAACTGGTGAGAATCTACTAGCGTGGATTCTGATACAAGTTGTCTGATTTCATCTGTTTCAAAAATTCATTAACAGACACTGGATAGTCTATTTTGACATTATCGAATCAAAGGCAATATTTCTTTTTGGCATAGCAGAGTTGCTAAGCATGCAGGCTCTGAAGTCAGGCTTTACCACGTAACGTGACTTTAGGCAAGTTATTTGATCCTTCTAGTCCTAAATTTCCTAATCTGTAAAAGAAGGTTGATAATAGTTCCTACCTTATCGATGGGAGGATTGTTGTGAGGATTAAGTGAAATAATCTACATAAATAGTACAGTGCCTGACACATAGCTGTTATTATTTCTGTGCTGTTTAATTCTGATTAAAAGTTTCAAGCTATACCCAAAGGACTGAGAGGCCCAGAAGGCAAAGGTAGTACCAGAAGTAGTGATGAGTTCTCATTCACTGATTAATTTAATACCTGTAAGCAGTAAAAATAGTATCTGGCACATACTAAACACTGTTGCTGTTTATCAAACACATTATTACCTAGATGGTGCAAGTATGTGTTTTAGGTGCTTTACTTACATTATTGGGAAATCTCTTAGTAATCCTGTAATGTAGTTGGTGTTTACTGCTTGTTATAGGTGAGGAAACTGAAGCTTAGAGAAAGCAAATAACCTAAGTCCACCTGGAATTCAGTCCAACCCGCTTTGTTTGTGTGTCAGACTATCCTTTGTTTATACTTCTGGCGTCACATAACATCTCGCACAGAGTTGTTTGTGTGGCCCAGGTTCATTTCTGCCATGGGTATAGTTTTATTTTTGAATATTTCATTAATTAAAAAAATAGAAATAATTTGGGGTGGTAAATCAAAGTGTGTGATAAGAGAAGACTGTCAGCAACACACATGCTATTTTTTAATTTAATTTTTTTAAAAAAGATTTTATTTATTTATTCATGAGAGACACATAGAGAGAGGCAGAAGATACAGACACAGGGAGCCCGATGTGGGACTTGATCCCGGGACTCTGGGATCACACTCTGAGCCAGAGGCAGACAGACGCTCAACCACTGAGCCACCCAGGCGTCCCAACGTACGTGCTATTACAAAAAAACTAAGTGGATTCAATGGTGTTTGGAGAATTGGCCAGTTCAGAAGTAATATTTCCTAATTTGTATTTTGCCATTTAACTTTGGTGTATTCACTATGTTTTCACTGTGCAACATTCTTCTATTATTATTTTTTTTCACCTGTGAATCTCAAGTTTGCAGTTAAGAAAGTTCAATTGTGGGGGAGGGGCAAGATGGCGGAAGAGCAGGGTCCCCAAATCACCTGTCCCCACCAAATTACCTAGATAACCTTCAAACCATCCTGAAAATTTACGAATTCGGCCTGAGATGTAAAGAGAGACCAGCTGGAATGCTACAGTGAGAAGAGTTCGCGCTTCTATCAAGGTAGGAAGACGGGAAAAAGAAATAAAGAAACAAAAGGCCTCCGAGGGGGAGGGGCCCTGCGAGGAGCCGGGCTGAGGCCGGGGCGAGTGTCCCCAGGACAGGAGAGCCCCGTCCCGGAGGAGCAGGAGCTGCACCAACCTTCCCGGGCGGGCGGAAAGGGGCTCGCAGGGAGTTGGAGCAGGACCCAGGAGGGCGGGGATGCCCTCGGGCTCCCGGGGACACTAACAGACACCTGAGAGCGCAGGAGAGTGCTCCGAGCTCCCTAAGGGCTGCAGCGCGCACGGCGGGACTGACCGGAGCAGCTCGGAGGGGCTCGGGAGCGGCTCCAGGGAGGGAGCTGCGGGGCGGGAGCGCGAATCCCACAGCGCAGGCCCCGGAGCACAGGGCGCCGGGACACAGCCCAGGATCCGGCCTCCCCCGGGACAGGCAGAGGCCGGGAGGGCCCAGGACAGCAAGGACGCTCCTGCCCCGAGCTGAGCAGATCAGCGGCCCCGCCCCGGAGCCTCCAGGCCCTGCAGACTGAGAACCAAGAGCCCCGAGCCCCGTAGTTCCTGCAGAGGCTGAATCCAGGCTTCCAGAGTTGCCATAGCAACTGCGACTGTTCCTCCTGGGGCCCCACAGGGTAAACAACCCCCGCTGAGCCCGGCAGCAGGCAGGGGCAGAGCAGCTCCCCCAAGTGCTAACACCTGAAAATCAGCGCAACAGGCCCCTCCCCCAGAAGACCAGCTAGAGGGACCAGTGATACTTCCCCGTGTTCCAATACAACTTGTTTTTGGCCACTCTGCACTGAGCAAAATGACTAGAAGGAAAACCTCACTTCAAAAGAAAGAATCAGAAACAGCCCTCTCTCCCGCAGAGTTACAAAATCTGGATTACACTTCAATGTCAGAAAGCCAATTCAGAAGCACTATTCTACAGCTACTGGTGGCTCTAGAAAAAAGCATTAAGGCCTCACAAGACTTCATGACTGCAGAATTTAGATCCAATCAGGCGGAAATTAAAAATCAATTGAATGAGATGCAATCCAAACTAGAAGTCCTAACGACGAGGGTTAACGAGGTGGAAGAACGAGTGAGTGACATAGAAGACAAGTTAATGGCAAAGAGGGAAACTGAGGAAAAAAGAGACAATCAATTAAGGGACCATGAAGACAGATTAAGGCAAATAAATGACAGTCTGAGGAAGAAAAACCTACGTTTAATTGGGGTTCCCGAGGGCGCCGAAAGGGCCAGAGGGCCAGAATATGTATTTGAACAAATCCTAGCTGAAAACTTTCCCAATCTGGGAAGGGAAACAGGCATTCAGATCCAGGAAATAGAGAGATCCCCCCTAAAATCAATAAAAACCGTTCAACACCTCGACATCTAATAGTGAAGCTTGCAAATTCCAAAGATAAAGAGAAGATCCTTAAAGCAGCAAGAGACAAGAAGTCCCTGACTTTCATGGGGAGGAATATTAGGGTAACAGCAGACCTCTCCACAGAGACCTGGCAGGCCAGAAAGGGCTGGCAGGATATATTCAGGGTCCTAAATGAGAAGAACATGCAACCAAGAATACTTTATCCAGCAAGGCTCTCATTCAAAATGGAAGGAGAGATAAAGAGCTTCCGAGACAGGCAGGAACTGAAAGAATATGTGACCTCCAAACCAGCTCTGCAAGAAATTTTAAGGGGGACTCTTAAAACTCCCCTTTAAGAAGAAGTTCAAGTAACTCTGAACGTGAATGGGCTTAATGACCCCATCAAAAGGCGCAGAGTTTCAGACTGGATAAAAAAACAGGACCCATCTATTTGCTGTCTACAAGAGACTCATTTTAGACAGAAGGACACCTACAACCTGAAAATAAAAGGTTGGAGAACCATTTACCATTCAAATGGTTCTCAAAATATACCCTAAAAACTACAGAACACTTCTGAAAGAAATTGAGGAAGACACAAAGAGATGGAAAAATATTCCATGCTCATGGATTGGCAGAATTAATATTGTGAAAATGTCAATGTTACCCAGGGCAATTTACACGTATAATGCAATCCCTATCAAAATACCATGGACTTTCTTCAGAGACTTAGAACAAATTATTTTAAGATTTGTGTGGAATCAGAAAAGACCCCAAACAGCCAGGGGAATTTTAAAAAAAGAAAACCATATCTGGGGGCATCACAATGCCAGATTTCAGGTTGTACTACAAAGCTGTGTTCATCAAGACAGTGTGGTACTGGCACAAAAACAGACATATAGATCAATGGAACAGAACAGAGAACCCAGAAGTGGACCCTGAACTTTATGCTCAACTAATATACGATAAAGGAGGAAAGACGATCCACTAGAAGAAAGACAGTCTCTTCAATAAATGGTGCTGGGAAAATTGGACATCCACATGCAGAAGAATGAAACTGGACCACTCTCTTGCACCATACACAAAGATAAACTCAAAATAGATGAAAGATCTAAATGTGAGACAAGATTCCATCAAAATCCCAGAGAAGAACTCAGGCAACACCCTTTTTGAACTTGGCCACAGTAACCGGAGAAGGACAAACAGTGTATGTTCTCATTCATTTGGGGAATATGAATAATAGCGAAAGGGAATATAAGGGAAGGGAGAAGAAATGTGTGAGAAATATCAGAAAGGGAGACAGAACATAAAGACTTCTAACTCTGGGAAATGAACTAGGGGTGGTGGAGGGGGAGGAGGGTGGGGGTGGGGGTGAATGGGTGACGGGCACTGAGGGGTACACTTGATGGGATGAGCACTGGGTGTTATTCTGTATGTTGGTAAATTGAACACCAATAAAAATTAATTTATAAAAAAAAAAAAAAAAAAAAAAGAAAGTTCAATTGTTTTAGTAATTTTTTTCAAGCCAACTGTTGATGAGGCAAGTAAGGGATTAAGGCTAATATGTATTGTTATAGTTTTCTTTCAGTAACATGTCTGTGTATGTCTGTGGGTATGTGTTTTACTCTCTTCTTATTACCTATTTTTTCTGTACTTTGATATCAGATACATCTCGTACACCTCATACCTCAGGAACCTTGTGACGTACATAGAGTTTGAGAGAATAGGAAACTTGAGTCTGTCAGTGACTTTATCTCACTTCCAGTTTCCCTATTTTTAATTGAAATTTAACTGCCATAAAGAAATGCCTCAGAAGGCCTGCTTACAAGATAAGGCAGTCTTTGCAATTGCATTTCATTAGTGTTTCTCCTAGAAACACAGAATGTTTTCTCAAGTTACTACGTTGCTGCATAGTAGGTTGTCTTAACAGAAAGTTGCTGCTTATTTTATCAATGAATTACTAATTTCCAAAGAACTAGAATGTAATAAAATGTAGTGTATGCACTAAATGATAATTTCATCCTTGATGTCGAAACCATCTTAGGAATTTACAGTATTGTGACCATCAGTCACATGATAGCTATTGCTGAAGTGCTGACTTACAGAGATTTCGGCCTACTTTTAACACAACGTAAACTCTTCTATAACAGTTTACTCTTAACTATGGTTGAAGAGCTCCCTTTATATATAGCGTTAAGCATAATGACTTTTAATTTCTCTTGATACATAA